GGGCAGGGGCCGCGCTCCGAGGCAACTGATTGGTCAGTGCGGCCCTCGTGCCGGTTGGCAGGCGGCGCGCGCCGGTGCGACGTCAACGCAAGCCGCTAAGCTACCCCGACCTGTGTACCGCGGCCCGGCGGTGGCTGAGTCCTCCCAGGGCCCGGGTCGGGCGGTGTGCTGAATACCTCTGCGGCCGCCATGGACAACTCCGGGAAGGAAGCGGAGGCGATGGCGCTGCTGGCTGAGGCGGAGCGCAAAGTGAAGAACTCGCAGTCCTTCTTCTCCGGCCTGTTCGGGTAAGAACCCGGCCGAGAGGTCGGCCGGAACTGAGGCTGAGAGGACGCAGGAGTCGTGGCCTGAGGCGGCGGGGTGGGCACGAAGGTCCCGGGCTGTGGGCACGGAGGGGATTCCGGGCTCGAGGGGGATGCGGTCTCGGACCGCGGAGGGGACACAGGCCGAAGGCCAGAGGGCCCGGGCCGTGGCAGCACGGGTGGAGGAGATGGGTTGAGATGGCCGAAGGGACCTGGGCGGAAGACACGGACACCGAGGCGGGGAAGGGAACCGCGGCTGAAGACGGGCCGAGGGGCCAGAGGAATATGGTCTGAGGCCTTGGAGGGGACCGGCCCGTGGGCACTGACGGAGCCGGGGAGAGCCTCTCCGAGCTCTCCGAGGACCTGTTTGAAGGATCGCGTACCGGTGATGGGGTCTGGGCTGAGGACTCCTGCCCGAGAGCCCGACCTTTACAAGGCCCGCGGCCGTGGGTTTCCGCGGGCCCTGGGTGCCAGGGTGAGGGCTCTGAGACTGGCCGCGGGGCTGAAGTGTGGGCACCTGCTGCCAGTGAGGCCCTGGGAACAGGGATGAGTTGAGATGGCCCGAGCAGGTCTGGGGTGATGAGCAGGACCTGGGAGGCTGGAGACTAAGGGGTTGGGGTGACGAAGCTGGCTCGACCAGCAGGAGGTCCCTCAGGAGTGGGTGGGGGGTCTGAAGGCAGTGGCTCTGGCATGCTGGGAAGAGGCCTATCTTGGGGTAGACATTTCACCTAAAATGTGTCATCTCATAAAAACCTGCTATCCTTTGAAGAAGCTTAGTGGCTTAGTGTCAGAAGCCCAGGTTTGGAATGAGGCTCTGCTGCCTCCTTGGTGACTTTGGGTAGGTGGTGATTCAGTTTCCCTGATAAAGGGGGTCACAAGCAAAGCCTTCCTCTGGGATTGTGTTTAGTGTCAAATGAGAGTGTGTGACGTGCTTAGAATTGAGTTCACACTCAGGTGTTGGCTGTGTTAATGCCACTACCCAGGAGAAGCAGGTTTGGGGGGTACAGGGCTGATAGGGATCCAGGTGAGAGCCCTAGGGGTGGGGCCTGGGAAGGGTCAGAGGAAGGAGAGACAAGGAATCCTAAGAGACAGGAGGGGGAGAGGAGCTGGAAGAGACTAGGCCAGGGCTCCGTGCGGACATTGTCGGGTTGGGGAAAGGGGCAGAAGCAGGAGGGAGCCCAGGAAGACTGGGGAGGCTGTGCTGAAGGAGGGACCTGAGCAGTTCCAGGGGAGGCTGTTGAGACTGAGAGGAGGATCCGGGGAGGCCCGGGAGTTTGTAGAGAGGAAGGACCGGTGGTGGGGGGCAGTCCAGAGAGGCAGATGGTGAATCTGTCTGAGGCTGAAAGGGCACTTTGGAGGGGGGCCTGGGCAAGGAGAAGGCCCTTTGGAGCTGCAGAGGTTGATAAGACTCTAAGTGAATGGATCTGTCAGTGCAAGGAGATGGGACACCATGGAAGGAGTGGCCCCTCGTTGTTTCAGGTTGGACCCTGGGGCAATGCTAAGCCACGCCCATCAAGGTTTTCTGGTAAATAGGGTCCAGGTGACAAGTGAGTTGAGCCCCCAAGGAACCCCAGGACTTGAGGGGTTTTCTGAGCGGAGACAGTACAAAGGTCTAGCACAAAGGGAGATTCTACCTGGAATGAGGGAGGAACCACAATTCAGAGGGATCAGGGATGGCATCTTAGGGGCAAGGCCTCCATCTGGGGGATGAACAGGACCCTGGGGGTGTTTTCTGGTGGAGGGCAGCACTCTAAGCAGAATAAAGGTCTGCAGGTACCTTATGAAGGGTTTTTTTTTTTTTTAAGGTCTATTTAATTTTATTAATTATTTAAAAAATTTGTTATAGGGCGTGTGTGCTCACCAGAGAGAGAGAAACCAAGCCACCAGATCTGGGACTCGAACTGTAGTTGGCCATGTGGGAGTCCAGGACCCAACCACCATGCCACCTACTGGCCCTGCCATATACGGGTTAATCTGACAGGGAGTTCCATGTTAGATCACGACGTTAGAGTGGGCAGAGGGGGAAGGTGAGGCTGGACAAAGAGGAGACTGACAGGGGTGCTGGAGACCACTGAAGATTTTAGTGCAACCCAGTCCTGGGGCAAGGAGCCCAGGTTTGCTTTGTGAGAAGGGCCGCAGCAGCTGGCGTCCAGCAGCTGGTGTCGGGGAGTGCAGACAGGAGGCAGTGGTAGGAACAGCAGTGCTAGTGGAGAGTGCTTGTGTGTTCGATGCTCGCTCTGACTGAGTCACCAAGGCCAGGCACTTAGCCTGCGCTCTCCTATTTAGTCCTCTGAAAACCCTGGGGAAGTAGAGAGAGGGAGGCATACGGAAGTCCACTTGTCCATCCAGACCCACAGTAAGAGGGGGCCTTCAAACCCAGGCCTGGGTGGTCGTAAAGCCCCTACCACTGCCGCTCTGCCCTGCCACAGTCATTTCTCCTGAGGCCTGTGCCCGTTTCTGACACCTTTTACCTTCAGGCAGGATGCTGGCAAACTAGCTGTCTTGGGGAGCTGCCACCTTCTAACTGCTCTCACCCCCATGGCAGTCTCCCTGGACACTGAAAAAAGAGCAGGTGCATTCATCCTGGTCCCGTCCCACTCCAAGAGAAGGAATGGTGGGAAGTGGCCTGGCTGGCCTGTGTGTACCAGAAGACAGCTCCTCCCTGCTGGATCTGGGGTCACCTGTGTTAACCTGTACCCAAGGCCCTTTGTGGCTTCTGGGGACTCGAGAAGGGACCGTTGGGGCTCAGCTTTTCCCTGGTGCATCTCTCTCCAGCTCTGGAAACCTTCCCAAATTGAGAGGTCTGTGCTTGTGACCAAAGGGCCAAGTAGGAGAGCCCTGCCTTGGGCCGGGACGTCCACCTCTGTCCAGTCCTCTCTGCCCACCGTCTGGCTGCTTGTGCTGGTTTGCCATCTTTGCAGGACAGGCTCCTTAGCGCCTCATTACTCCTGGGCTGCCAGACGAGCCAGCAGCCAGTGAAGGCAGTGGCACCAACTGGTTAGTGGAAGATCAACTTGTCCCTGTCCCTCCCTTTGGCGGTGGGGGTGATAGTGGGCTGGGGAGTGGCCCAGACCTCTGCTCTGGAAGCAAAAAGATGGAGATTGCCCAGTGAGACAGAGAGCGAGAGAGGACGGGGTGAGAAAGGACGGGGCAAGTCAGGGTGCTCCTGTCCCTCCTCCTGGCTGTGCCTCACGAATCCAGAGACGTCTTTTTCTATCCTTTGGGAATGTGTAGGTTCTGAATGGCAGTTCTGTTCCGTGGGACTTTTTTTCATCCCTAACAACTCCCAACTGACCCCCAAAAATACAGAATAAAAACTGGTTTTCTCTCAGGTACTAATGTGAACAGGAAGTTCCTTTATCTATTCATTGAAAATCCTAGTAAACTTTGCTTCGTAGGATCCTCCTTCTGTTTTTGTTTGTTTGTTCTGTTTTTAAGAGACAGAAAGCAAGAAATCACCCCCTGGGGGGATGGCCACACTGCAATCTCTTCTCTATTCTCCTTTCAGGATCTTGGACACACATGCACACATGCCCAGCATGAGTTTAAGTTGCCGGGTCCAGGACTCGAACTGCGATTGACTACGTGGGAGTTCAGCGACATAACCATTACACTGTCTGGTCCCCCTATGGTCCTTGTTCTAAGGTGCAAATGAGAGGGTGTGCAGAGGGCAGTGAGAGCACAAGACCTGGCTCCTTAAGTGCACGCTGTCCTAATCATTAGGTGTTGTCACTAGAGGTTGAGCTGGAGGCGCCGGAGAAGGAGAGGTGACGGTGTTCTATACACAGGCAGATGTTGACAAATCAGTTCCTGTTTGAATGCCTGTAGGTAGTGGGATCCCTAGAGGGCAGGCTTTTGTGAGGGAGGACTTGCTGCCAGGGCCGGGATGGGGCCCCACCCTGGACAGGGCCCATCCACGGTCTTAGCCGAGCCTGGTGTGGGCACAGCTTCTGGCCTGGCTCCAGACCACTGCCCATGTGCAGAGCATGCAGCAGCCCCTGGGGCCATTTCCAAATCACGGTGCCTGACGACTGCCAATATCCACAACCCCAACCTTGGCGACAGTCTCAGCCGTCTGTCCTGAGGGCACACGAGGCTTCTGGGGAATCCAGTACTCCTGGCTTTCTCTAGCACGGGGCTCTGCTGCCTGGTCCTGATCTGGGAGGAACAGTCCCCTGTCACATGTACTGGCGGGGTGGGGTTACCGAGAAGCAAAGGTCTTTCCAGATGTCTTTTATGAAAAGGAAACACTTCATTTGTGGCTGTGAAGTGTACCCTGTGGGTACAGAGGGGCATCAGTAAGAGAAACAGTAGCATCCAGGCCGGGGGCTTTGGGGGCAGGGGGGTTCAGGCCCTGAGGGAGGGCAGTGGGCCACAAGTAAGTACTGTCAGTGTCAGGCGAGGGGAGGCGGCGGAAGCCCAGGCTCTGCGGATGCCGAAGGCTGCGACCAGAGCTAACCTGGAGGAGAGGAGACAAGCCCACGCTGGGAGAATCTGCTCTGTGGGGCCTGAGTACTGTGATGCCCTCAGTTGCTGTGCCCTTGAGTCATGGCAGGCATGCACCCAGGCACACTGTGGGCACTGCCTGTGAAAACACACGTTTCCAGTAGCCCTGCGAGGCGTGCAGTCTTCTTCCCCGGTATGGATGAATAAACCGAGTCAGTGAGTTGGGAGCTGGTGTTTGAATCCAGGCCTGTCTGACTATGGTCAGCAATTTTTCTGACCAATGACTCTGTGATTCTCGTTTCTTTTTCCTTTTTTACTATTTTTTAAAGAGATTTTTGCTATAGGGTGTGTGTGCTCGCCAGAAAGACAGAAACTGAGATGTCACCCCTTCCCCCCCAGGGAGAATGGTCGCTCTACAGTCCCTTCTCCTCCATTCTCCTCTTGAGATTCTGGGCACGTGTGTATATGCGCCTGGTGTGTTTTAAGCCTCTGGGTCCAGGACTCGAACCACAGTCAACTACATGGAAGTCCAGTGATGTAGCCATAATGCCATCTGCTGGCCCCTCTGATTACCTTTTTTTTGGGGGGGGGGGAGTTTTTCCCTATAGGGCACGTGCACTTGCCAGACAGACAGAGAGAGAGAGACAGAAAGCGAGAAATCTCCCCCCAAGGGGGGATGGCCACGCCGCAATCCCTTCTCCTCCATTCTCCTCTTGGGATCTTGGGCACACACACACATGTGCCTGGCATGAGTTTAAGCCACCGGGTCCAGGACACGAACTGCGGTTGACTACGTGGCAGTCCAGCAACATAGACATTAAGCCCATTGCTGGTACCACCATTTTTGAATGGGTGATGCCCCTTTGGGTGTGTTGCTTCTTCCTTACACGATACTAACCCCTTGAGCACCTAGTCTGTGTCACTGTCTGTGCCCAGTGTTGAGTATTGTCATCTCTGATCTTCACAACTAATCTTCTAAATTAATCAAGTCTAATGTAAGCTCCTCCACGGTCAGGTTCTTGGTCTCTGTTTTACAGGTCAAGAAACAGGCTCAAGAATGACTAGCCTAAGGTCGCACACTTAGAAAGTGCCTGGAATGAATTTTAGCCCAAGTCTCTCCACTCCAAAGTCAGTTCTCTTTCTACTTGCCTTGCTCATATAGGTGGGTCACAAGAGGGTCCTGGTGGTTTCAGAGCAGGGCAGTTAGTATGGCATCATTCTAGTGGCATTGTTACCAGGGCCTGTGCACACGCAGAGGGGAGAAAGGATGGCAGAATGGTGTCTGGGTCCTGCCGTGGGGCACTCGGACCCCAGTAGGTGCAGTGCAGCTCCATGCAGATCCCAGGGCAGTGAGAGGCTCACCACTCGCAGGTGTTACGGGTAGGAGCCTTCAGCTCCGGTGCAGTCAGTGGCGTAGCAAGGGTGGTGGCCGCCCGCCCTGTGCGAGGGTAACGCTCACCCAGGCAGCCTTTGCTTTTTCTAGCCTGCCGCCTGCCTGGTGGACTGTACCGTGGGCTCAGTGGGGGCAGGTGTAAGCTTCCTTGCCAGGAAGCTCAGCAGCTGCGGAGAGCAGTGCACTTGTCCTTCAAGGAAACCTGAGCAGGGTAGGGGCCTGCTGTCCAGTGGAGGGGTGGTGTAGGCAGGCCCCTCATCTGCCACCAGCCTTGTTTTCCAGAGAGCTCTTGGACATCAAGTGAATTAGAGGCAGGAGCAGGACTGGGTCCCCAGGCCCTTTTCCAACCCAGCTACTTCCTGGGCTAGGTCTTCCTTACCCTCCAGCTTCCTCTGGGAGGCAGGGGTAATCCCAGAGGGCTCTCAAGTGGCACTGTCAGCGCCTTGAGGGGGGTACTGCTGGGCAGGCAGCCATAGTGCAGGCAGAACGATGACAGCCCCAGCATAGAGCCGGTAAGGACAGGCCAACCGCTAGGTCCCTCTTGTCGAGGGCATGGACTTCACAGACAGAGCCCTTGACTTAAAAAGTCCTAGGCTGTGGACTTAAGAGGGATGGGGGGAGAGCGTCTAGGACCCCAAATGAGAAGTTGCTCCATCTGCCCTGCCTTTTGAGGTGCTTCAGGACCTGTGGGTAGATGTGGGCAGATAGCACATTTCTGGGAGCCAGGAAGTGCCCAGGGGATGGAGGAAGTGGAAAAGGAGGCAGAGACTCTGCCCTGCAGAGCCCCCTGGCCCAGGCCCCACCAGGCGTCTGTGCATTCCTGGCAGCATCACCCCCTCCATATGGCAGTCGCTGGAGGTTGGTGGCTATGCCTGGGAGACCTGAGACTGCTTCCTCCGCCTTGGGAGGGAGAGAGAGCGAAGCGAGTGGGTAATTATAGACAGCCCTGCACCAGGCCGGCCCAAACCAGTTCCCTCTCTTCCAGGCCTGGCTCTGAGCCGTGGGATGGAAGAGTGAAGCAGAGGCAGCTTGGGGGAGGCCAGTCGGGGAGGAACAGTCAGCTGTCACATGTGCTACCACCGGGCCCTTTAGGAGAGGAGACCCAGCTAGGTTTCCTAGATCTTGTGCAGGAGGCAGAGGGAGAGGGCCAGTTTCCTCCCCTCAGAGAGTTTGCGGTTGTTGGGAGGCCACTGATGATGGGTGACAGGAGCGCTCCTCCTGTAGTAAACCTCGTGGATTTAGTGTGCTGACAGTTTGGCAGCGCAGTGGAGCTGGGGCTTCTTCCTCCTGGTCCCTCCTTCCAGCTCGGTTCCTGCACTCCAGTACCGAGGCTGTCCTGGCCCACTTCTCTGCCTTGAACTTGCTGAGCTTGTTTTCTGCCGTGACCACTGCCTGGATGCACTGCCCTCTTTCCATGCACGGTTCCTTAGTCATCACTGAGGGCTGGGCACGACCTCACACCCGCCAGAGCAGCTCTTGCTGACCTGCATAGGGCCCCTCCTCCCCGGTCCCTGGAGTGCCCGATCACTCTGAAATTGCCTTGGTGACTTCTAGCTCAGCAGGGGCAGGCCCTTCTCCGTGTTTACTGCTGTTCTCTCCAGTGCCTGGCACATGGACACATTCAGGTAGCTGTTTGCCAGGTGAATATAAACATCTGTTTGGCTTCAGGACCTGCCAGTGAGCTCTAAGCAAATCCATTTCCCCCTTTGGGGATGCCACTCTCATCTCCAGATTCCCCATTGTTCCCTGGCTGCGGCTACACATAGACAATGACCAGAGTGTTCAGGGGCAGCAGGACAGGAGGCAGGCGTTAATCCCTCTGGCTTTTGCACCCCGGGCTGAAATCACTGACCCAGCGTAGGTGGCCCGGCTCAGTGTGATACCCTGGCTTTCAGCCTGGCAGCTGAGAGGCTTTGTGCTTGTGCCTGCCGGGTTGTTCCACTGAGCCAAGCACGCCCACGGCGCTCACTGCCATTGTCCAGCCCCGGCTGTGGGCCTCCAGGCGCGGCAAGCCATTGGGGCCTATCCAGGATCCTGTGCTTGCTCAGAGACTGTCAGGCTGGACAGGAATTAGTTGGACCCATGGAGAAGAGAGGGTGAGCTGTAAGCAAGGGCTGTGGATGTGGCCCGGTGAGAGAACATTCCAGGGAAGGTCCTGCTGAGGGCTTTTTTTTTTTTTTTTCAGCCAGGTCCCAAAAGATGTTTCTGCCAGAAGCTTGTGAGCATTTCTCGAAAATCCCTCCACAGCCAGGAGTGGGCTCTGAAGAAGTCACTCCAGACCGAGACCCCAGGCCCAGGGTGTGTTGGGCTGGCTGGGGTGAGCGTGGGGGCAAGCAGGACCAGAGTAGTGAGTGTGGGCAGGTGCACATGTGGGCAGGTCACATTGCTCAGGTCAGGGACAGCAGAGGGTGGAGGACAACATCAGCACAGCCCTAGAAAGCCTCTGCACCCTGGACGGCCTCTCTGCCCACCCAGGGAGTATTTGCCCTCTGGTGTTGCCGACCTAGGATGGCACTAGTGGCTGATTTCCAGGTGGTTGGTCTCAGGCAGCTTTCCCAAACTCACCTGATCATCTGAATCACCTGGATCCCCCTAAATCACAATTGTTAAAAATCTCAATTCAAAAAAAAGAGATTAAAAAAATTAAAAAAAAAAAAGGGACCAGCAGTTGGTGTAATGGCTATGTCGCTGGACTCCCATGTGATCGACCATGGTTCGAGTCCCAAACCCAGTGGCTTAAACTCACACTGGGTGCATGTGCGTGCGTGCCCAAGTCCCCGAGAGGAGAATAGAGGAGGAGGGATTGTGGCGTGGCCTTCCCCCCGGGGGGTTGATTTCTTGCTTTCTGTCTCTCTTTCTGGTGAGCACTCACGCCCTATAGCAAAAACCTCTCAAAAACAAACAAACAAACAAATAAAAAAACAAGATTAAAAATCTCAATTCCAGGCCCACCTGGAGTTGCTGAGTAGACTTTCAGGGGAGGTGGCTGGGGGGAGGGCTCTGGTTTGATACTGTAGAGAGCCCTTCACATAGTTCAGAGGGATGAATAGTCAGGGAAGGAGGGCTGGGAACCCTGCCCCCTACTTATCTTCAAGGCATCTGTGGCTGGTAGCAAGTTTCCAGGCATAGTAGTGGGCCATTTGACACAAGGGTGAAGAGGGACGGTGAGAATTACCTGTGCACTTTAGTTGAGAAAACTCCCTTTTTTTTTCCTTCAAACAAAGAAAATATTGGTTATGTCAGTGAAGAGAGAATCTGAACCCCTTTTGGCATGACTCCTGAGTGTATAGATTTTATTATTCTCCTGGTTATGTGGGAGATGGGAGTTTGAACAGTTGTGAAGACCACAGACCTTGTGGGCCAGGCCTGGCTTGATCACTGGGGTAGAAGGACAGAAGGACATGGCAGGGACTTTGGAGTTTGAAGTACTAATGAAGGGACCCCAAGTCAGAAAGAGTTTTTAAAGTAACACTTGCAGGTCAAGAAGCCAGTGTAAAGTTTCCCAAGAAAGATACCCTTTATTTAAAAAAAGAAAAAACCAAAAAACAAGAAAATACTACTCCTGAGGCCAGCAGGTGGCATGGTAGTTAAGGTGCTATATTCCCACATGAATGACCATGGTTCCTTGAAAATCATGCCAGATGCATGTGTGCCCAAAATTCCAGGAGGAGAATGAAGGAAGGGGATTGCACCCCCCCTGGGAGGGGGTGGTTTTTCACCTTCTTTCTCTCTGTCTCTCTGGTGAGCAAAAACCTAATTAAAAAAAGAAAAGTACTCCCCTACATTTTCCAGGGCCCTACTGTTGCACAAGAAGTTTTCTTTCTTTCTTTCTTTCTTTCTTTCTTTTTTTTTTTTTTTTTTGAGAGGTTTTTGCCATAGGGCGCATGTGCTCGCCAGAAAGACAGAGAGAGAAAGCGAGAAATCACCCCCCAGGGAGGATGGCCACGCTGCAATCCCTTCTCCATTCTCCTCTCGGGATCTAGGGCACACACGCATATGCGCCTGGCGTGAGTTTAAGTCACCAGGTCTGGGACTCGAACCGCAGTCGACTACATGGGAGTCCAGTGACATAGCCATTATGCTAACTGCTGGTCCCTTTTTCTT